TGTGTAGTTGTTGTTTTGTTTTGTGTGTCAGTTCTACTAGTGAATGTCACAGTTGCTGCAAAAAAGCCACTAAAGGCAGATTGCAGTGTAAACGCTGAGTGACACACCTGCTGTCAGACCTGCAGGTTTATCCCTGTGCTGTTCTACTCTGTGTCATAGTGGACACAAACTATTTTTTGGAGTTGCATAAATAATTTGTGTGCCTTCTTATTTGACGCAGAACACATGATTGTTCTGTAAATAGTTTTAAATGGTTATATGAAAAACGTCTGAGCCTTGGCTGCATTTTAGGTAAATAGTACCATATAACGTTGTTTGCAAAACTTGTGCATATTTTTTAAGAATGTACAATTTCTATTTGCATTTCAAGTTATGAAAATGATTCCTTAAACATGCTTGTGGTTTTTACAGTCAAAAATATCACTTTCTACTCATATTTTAAATTATTTCTGAATTTAGATCAATTGTGCTGAAATATAGGTGAAAGGTAAAGGTGAAATATAGAGGCCAAATCAAAAGTAGTCAAAAACAGCCAATTATACCCTGGACACCAGAGGGTTAAAGGCTAAAAGCAAAGTTGTCACCAAGTACTGTTTATATTTGTGTGTATTACTGCAGCTTTTTAAAGTATTAACTTGGTTTCTTCGGGTGAAATAATGATAATGTGAGCAATCCACATGGTCACAAAAAATAGGCACTTGTTTCTGTGCTACCAAAGTTCCCCGGCTTTCATTCAAAATGTGTTTATCGTCAGCTCCTACACATTAAACTACTTAAACATTATAAATGTCTTCAAGCTCACACTGAGGCCTGTGGGGCACAATCAGCCACTCAGACAGTACACACATACGTGTATTTATATATGAATATTTCATACTTTAAGGCTGCCTGTTTATTTAAGGCAGATGAACAAAATACATTGGGATTGTACATAATAATATCACGGATGATAAATTCAATAGATTTTAAGTATATCCTTGTGCATTCTTCAAGTCTTATATGTTGAATTGAACTATGTGATCTATTCAAAGCCTCCCAGTCAGTGCTGTTCTCCATGCCTGTCTGACTGTACATGATGTCATTAGCACAAACACTTTAAAGGTGATCATTTAGGACTTCAGCAATAATACAGACAGCAATGTAGTTAGCAATAAAACCGCTTTATTGGGAATTAACTTAAAAAACAAATAAACAGCAAACAAGCATCTGTCTCCTATTTTTTGTCACACAGGAAAGAAGCATCAATATCTGATGAGAAGACTTATTAATTTCTCTTTTTTTTTTCAACAGGAGAAGAATATCTAACAAGTTGATTTGTTCACATTTTCACATCTTAATTTTTAAGGGAAACGTGCATTTTGAGTTTATACACTATGTATATAAGGTGACCGTATCCTTTTGCAGTATTTTTGTGTGTTGCGTTTTTCTATGTCTTAACAAAAGGGGAGCAAAGGTGTCTTTTCACATGGTCTTACTGAGGTGATGCGAATTGAAACATGCATTTTTTTTTTTTTTGGGGGGGGGAGCTTGAAAAGGGACCTTGAAAGTGCTTAAAAAGTGCTTGAATTTGACCCTGAAAAGGCGTATGAATCCTGTCCTTAATTAATGCAACGTAAATGTTGCTTTTGTTTGCCTTATGTTTCAAAACCTTCTGATTTTTCTCCTGTGCAGATTCAAGGCAGAATGTCAGATATTATAAAGCCCCCGTCAGTGTTTCAGTCTTTTTCCTTAACAGTTTAATTTTGTCTTCTTTAAAAACAGAGATGAAGTAACAATTCCTTACAAATCCATAAATTTGTGTCTGGTGCTCAAAGAACATTTTGGGCACGAGAACGTTTTCCCAAAAGCATTTTCCAGCTTTTCTGCAAAAGTAAAAGTGGAATCTTGTCTTGTCTATCTTCTTTAGAGTCCAGGACGGGACACTATATCTTCAACTTTAAATTCAGGCTTTGTGTTTTTTGAATGTTGTCATTGTTGTTTCTCAACTTTAAAACTGTCCTAATAAACCTGGGCTTCAATAAAAACAAGTACCAAGTCATGCAGTCTACTGTAATGGGATTGCAGCAAGTCAGTTTGTGAAAATTCCTCTCTCCTAGATATTCCACAATCAATTGTAAGTGCTTTTATTGCAAAGTGGTAGTGTTTAGGGATAACATCAACTCAGTGTGAACATGTAAAGTTGCAGAGCGAGGTCACTGGCATTGAAATAAAATGTAGAGTAATACATTGTTTTTAAAAATGAAACAGTACACATTATTTTTTTTGTCCATATTTCTGACTGGTTGTTTCTCTTGTGCTTTAAAGTTCAGAGTGATGCTGCTGCCGGACCTGGCCTGGCATCAGTCCTCCACTCAGGACACCTCCACCCTCCACGAGCAGCAAAGCCCCCTATGACACGCGTCAGGCTGGGCTTCTTGGAGATGATGACTGAACAGCACGAGCTCAGTGCTATTCAAGAGGTGGAGACTCCAGTCGATGGCAGCCAACTCACAGGTCTGCTCAGCTGCAGTAAGACGTGAATATCGGGCAGTTTCATCTCCTGCATGTATAACACTGACTTATTTATTTGTTTTAACTGTAGGCCCAGACAAT